TAAATTTAAAGAAAAAGATAAATTGGGTGTTCTGGGGACGGCATTAGCTTTGGAGCATGATGTAATGCAAGGGAACTCCTGTGGCTGAGACTCTCAGTAAGTAAGGGAAGATTGCTAATTGGGAAATCTAATAGTTATTCTTGATTGTCTTGGTAGATATCTGAGCTGCCACGTTTGCTGACACCATGTAGTCCCTCTGAATTTGTGTCACCAAAATCCAGTGCAGAGGGAAGCAGAAGTGTCCATCCTCGAGAGGGAAAAAGTTAGAAAACCCTGAAATATGATTTTCTACAAAGCTAGTATATCCCTCTGAGAAGATCCTACTGTACTCCAGCCTGGGTAACAGAGTAAAAAAAAAAAAAGCCCAATCTGGCAACTGATTATATTTCCTCTTTTATTTTAGGTCTTGAGGTTTGAAAATATTCTGTCCTCTATTCTTCACTTTGGAGTCCTCCCACTGGCCAATGGTAAGGGATTATTGGGAAACAATGTGACTGTAACATCGGCTAACATTTAACATCTGCATCAGCTGCACTGGGGATTGTTTGGGACTTTTCACCCTGAAGCTTGTACTTCTATCATGTTATCATGGATCCAGGCCAGCGTCAGAATTTGCAAAGTTTGTACCATCAATGACCTGGTTGCACAATTAGTTATTCTAGATCCAAGCCCTGTTAGCAATTCTATTTGCAAACTCAGCAAGATCGGCTAACACTGGTTAAGGAGATTGAAACCATGCTCCTTAGGCAGTAAAGAATCTCCTTCCAGTCAACCGGAAATGAGATTATTTTCCCTACGGGATATCTCTGTGGGTCTTATGCAAGGACCACTAACTGGATAGACACAGTTTTCATGAATGATAATCCTGGGCCTTCTTGCATAGCAGTTGTTCATAAACCGCAGTATCTGGGGTCTGGCCCAGTTAAAATGTTTTTTATATTAGACACCAAAATGTTCTCAAAACCCACTAATTAGGTATTTTCAAAATACACATTGGGCAGGCTAAAAATGGACAGCATTTCTCTACTGTCCAAATGAACATAATTGTAGGTGCATTTTTTATTAATCACGGATTAATGAGCAATTCTTCCAGGAAAATTCTAGGGACATATCAGAGAGATGCAAATGTGGAACCAGGGAGAATGAAAGGATCAATTATTAAAAAGCTATCCACGCTGGGTGCGGTGGCTCATGCCTATAATCCCAGAACTCTGGGAGGCCAAGGCAGGCAGATTACCTGTGGTCAGGAGTTCGAGACCAGCCTGGCCGACATGGTGAAACCCCATCTCTACTAAAAATACAAAAATCTTAGCCAGGCATGGTGGTGGGCATCTGTAATCTCAGCTACTCAGGAGGCTGAGGCAGGAGAATCGCCTGAACCTGGGAGGCAGAGGTTTCAGTGAGCCAAGATCATGCCATTACATTCCAGCCTGGGCAAAAAAAAAAAAAAACCAAAAATAAAAAAAAAAAAAAAAAAAAAAAAAAAAAGGTGTCAGTCTCTTACTAAAAAGCTTGCTAAAACCTCTGTGCTTGTGCCCAATTATTTTATGTCTTGTTCTATATTTTAGCAAAATTGCAGCAAGGATTTCCTCTGCCCAATCCACACAAAATCTCATTCGTCAATTCAGATATTGAAGTTCTTGAGGTAAGAATGCAAATCTCACCTCTTAACTGACTCATTTCTTTTTATAGTAGACTAAGCCTCCTCCTGTTTTGCTTGTTGTTGTTGTTTTTGTCCTGCTTTGCTTTTTCCCAGACCAAGGAATTTTATAAACATGTTTAGCTCTTAAATTACAATTAACAGAAAGTATTTACAGTTGAGTTTAAAAATCAGACCAGGATCAATTCCACTTAGCAGCCAAATCCACAGTACAAGAAGATGCCCTTTAGCACGCTTTATTTTACTTATTCCACAAGACGATGTGTGAGGCTGGGATTATTACTCCCATTTTACAGATGAGGAAAGTAGGACTCATAGAGAAGTGGCTCAGGCAGCTGGAAAGGAGCATGGCTGGGACAGGACTGGCTCTTCTGATTCTCGCAGTCAGATGACTTTCCCCTGAACCAAAGACACCCCTCTGCGTTCAGGAATCGAATTGTTTTCTGGCTAATTATTATGAACTCACTTCAGAATACCTTTTTTTTCTTTCTTTCTTTCTTTTTGGCATTGTTGTTTGTCTGGGGAGGTGGAAATATGTTTCTAAAGGAATTCTCCAATCCTGTACAGTCCAGGGGTCCCCAACACCCAGGCCTAGGACCTGTCTGGGTGTGTGGCCTGTTAGGAACTTGGCTGCACAGCTAGAGGTGAGCCGCCGACGAGGGAGCATCACTGCCTGAGCTCCGCCTCCTATTAGATCAGCAGCAGCGTTAGATTCTCATGGGGGCACAAACGCTCTAGTGAACTGTGTGTGTGAGGGGTCTAGGTTGCACGCTCCTTATGAGAATCTAACTAAAGCCTGATGATCTGAGGTGGAACAGTTTCATCCTGAAACCATCCACCAATCCCAGTCAGTGGAAAAAGTGTCTTCCATGAAACCGGTTGCTGGTGTCAATAAGGCTGGGGACCGCTGCCCTACACTACCCCGTATGCTCTCCCATCTCCCTGCTTCTCCCCCACTGCTTCTACAATGGCTAAGTCACATCAGGTGACAGTACTCCAACATGGCCTTTCCTTTGTCTGGGGCGTTCACGAAGCAGGGCAAGGGTAGAGGCGGCCCTGCCTCTGTAGGACCTGGTAAAGAAACCATCTCTCAGTCGGGCATGGTGGCTTATGCATGTAATCCCAGCACTTTGGGAGGCCGAGGCAGGCGGATCACAAGGTCAGGAGATTGAGACCATGGTGAAACCCCATCTCTACTAAAAATAGAAAAAAACATTAGCCGGCGCGGTGGCGGGCGCCTGTAGTCCCAGCTACTCTGGAGGCTGAGGCAGGAGAATGGCGTGAACCCGGGAGGCGGAGCTTGCAGTGAGCCGAGATTGCGCCACTGCACTCCAGCCTGGGCCACAGAACGAGACTCCTCAAAAAAAAAAAAAAGAAACCATCTCTCAGTCGGGCATGGTGGCTCATGCGTGTAATCCTAGCACTTTGGGAGGCTGAGGTGGGCGGATCACTTAAGGTCAGGAGTTCGAGACCAGCCTAGCCAAAATGGTGAAACCTTGTCTCTACTAAAAATACAAAAATTAGCTGGGTGTGGTGGCATACGCCTCTAGTCCCAGCTGCTCAGGAGACTGAGAATCACTTGAACCCAAGTGGCGGAGAATCACTTGAACCCAAGAGGCGGAGCTTGCGAGATTACACCACCGCACTCCAGCCTAGGTGACAGCCTTTGAGACTCCATCTCAAAAATTAAAATAATAAAAAAAGAAGCCAGCTGTGCCTCACTCCTCAGACAAACCCAGACATGCCCAAGGTTTGATGTTATCTTCATTGTCACATCCTTTCCAGGGTTTCCTTTTGATTTCCACCGACCTGAAGTATGAAACATCCTCAAAGCAGCAGCCCAGTTTCCATGGTTGGGAAGGTCTGAACCTGATAAGTGGACAGTGGAGGGGGAAGTCAGCCCCTTGATTGCCAGTTTGCAATTCACCCCAGGAAGTAAATGGTCCTTAACCCCACAACTACTGTAAACCCAGAAGGGGAAGACAGTATACACTGGAATTGTAAAGCCCTTGTGAATTGCTTAGGTAGAAGTTTTTCTTTCTCAAGCCTTCAGGAACCCAGAATAAGGCAGAATGTGTTAAAGGGCTAAATAGAGGTGTATGAATGTGAGTGTATGCATGCCGCGTGTGCCTGTGTTTATGTTTGTTTGGGGCAAGAAAGATTCTAGGAACAAGAGCTAGGCATGTACTTCTGACCAGGTGGGTAAGAAACTCTTAAGTCTGTATTTTTATTGGTCATTCTCAGTGGAGATTCCTTAGGCCCTCTAGGGGTTTTCCCCTACCCACATATTGGATTTCATGTTTTATATTCACTGTTACTGTCTTCTGTGTTTAATTAAAATTGTTTTCTATCAACTTCAATCTTGGTTTTTTTATTTGAGAAATGTCCTGCCCTGAATTTTTAAAAAATGAAATAAGAGGCCAGCCACAGTAGGTCATGCCTGTAATCTCAGCACTTTGGGAGGCCAAGATGGGTAGTCAGGGGTCAAGAGGTCGAGACTATCCTGGCCAACATGATGAAACCTAGTCTGTACTAAAAATACAAAAATTAGCTGGGAGTGGTGGCACGCACCTGTAGTCCCAGCTACTTGGGAGGCTGAGGCAGGAGAATCGCTTGAACCTGGGAGGCAGAGCTTGCAGTGAGCCAAGATGGCGCCAGTGCACTCCAGTCTGGCGACAGAGTGAGACTCCGTCTCAATAAAATAAAATAAAAAATAGAAAAGGGAAGAGACCTAAGGTTGCACAGACGTCAAGGCTTGATTTTAAAAGAGAATTCTTTACGTCTGAAATCTTTACAAGAAGAAACACGGTAACCACAGGAAGCTCTAAAAGTTGCATCACTTAAAGCTTTAGGATTTTTCATCCACCACAGATTCAGTGAAATGGCAGTGCAGAGTACTAAACTCAGACAATTCATAATTGAGAATGATATCAATGTGTCAGAGCACCTAATCAGTGGGGATAAATTGGGGCAGAAGAGAAGAAGAGCGGAACCAGTGTAGGTAATGCGATAAATGAATGTAAACTACCTACTGTTTTTTTTTTTGCAGCACTTACAGTCTAGTGGGGGAATGGAAGGAGGAGAGCTGTTTACAGAGTGCTTGCCATGTGCCAAACCCTGTGCTGATTACTTCTCCGGTGTCACTTCATTTAGCCTTCTACTCAAGAAAGAAGTATGATCCCATTTTAGAGATGATGAAACAGAGATAAGAAGGGTTAATCACACCAAGCCAGTAAATGGCACAGATAGAAATGGAATCTTGCAAGTCTTTCTAATCCCAAAGTTGCAGTTGCTGACATGAGGCAGAACTCGAAACTGAAATCACTTAAAGCTCACTTACCACTATGAACAAGAGACATGGCGTATAAAAGTATGATTAAAGAGGTCTTGATCATCAAAGGATGCTAGACTGAGGAGTTCTGGCGATCCATAAGGGCTGTGATTTGATCATTTTGTAGTACATGTCTGGCCATAATAGATGCATCCACAAATGTTTGTTAGAATAAACGATAAGCTGCCATGCTTCATTCTTTGGGATGCTCCTTTCCGATAAAAAAAGTTATTTGATGTATATCCAGATTCATTCCGAAACATAAAACATATGGTATTTATTCAAACAAGTTTTTCTTTCTCAGCTGCTGGCGTATCTTTTTCCCCTCCCAGCTGAGGGTGTAAACTCCAAGCCGATGCACCGGATCTGACCCAGACTCAAGGTGTTTTCATAAGCTGCTGAAAACCATCTCCAAAACAAAAGATAACTACATTAGAATTTAAACTCCTGGATTTCGCTTAGCTGTAGCTTAGAGGAAATCGACTAATAAAGATCCTAGCTATACACTAGAGGACAATACAGCTTAACCAGAGGGAAGACATTGGCCTGAGGAGTTTCGAGCCTCGGCGCTTGCCGTTGCTCATCCTGCTGCGGCGCTGGTCGCGCCTGCGCTTTGGTTCTTGGAAGGCGGTGCTCTGGGAAGCCGGACAACGCGGCAGCGGCTCTTCAAAGCCAAGCCGGGAGTTTTCGCTACCGTTGTCGCCGCCATGAGTCGCAACTATAATGATGAGCTGCAGTTCTTGGAAAAGATCAGTAAAAACTGCTGGAGGATCAAGAAGGGCTTCGTGCCCAACATGCAGGTAAGTCAGGAGAGCAAATGGCGGTGCCTTCCCTGTTCCGTCCCCGGCCCGGCCGGCGTCCACCGCGCCCTCTGGACCTCCATGGACCACTGGGTCCGCCCCGGCCCCTTGCAGAGTTTCCCTCATCCCGTCCTTCTCCCCTCACGGTTCTGGGGCCGCCCAACCTGTTCCAGCACCACCTCCCGCCAGGAGAGGTCCCCGAACCACGAGGACAAGCTAAGCGCCGTGGATATGGGGAATCCAAATAAATACAAAATTGGGGTTTCCAAAGCGTTTTCACAGATCAGTCTCATAAACGCAGCGTGAGCTGGTGTACGTTCCTGGTCTTCAAGGTGGAACTGCCAGCCCTGGGTTCATTTGCTGGGACTGGAATTCACCTTCTCTGAGTCATGCTGGTTATTTATATAACGTTTACAGACCTTTGCTCACTGAACCAAGTTTTCAGCATTCAGTATTCCATGTTGGTTTTTAATTAAGCGATGTCATTTCTTGCAGTAGCACAGGGGAGGGCCTGATTGATTTTAATACTTCACAGAAGGACCTCGAGGATCTGTCGGTGACATAGTTTCCTCTACCTACCTAGGAAGAAGCTCAGCCAGGACTTGATGTCCAGTTTATTAGTTTTTCCTCTGACGTCCCAAATGGAGACTTGAGGGCTTGGGATCATCAGACAGTTTGAAAGCCTGGGCTCTGTATCTCTCGGCCTTCATTACCATCTGTGCTCATATTTTTCATTAACGTGAAAAAAGAAAACGTTTGTGAAGTTTTGCAACGTATTTTTAAATAGTTTTTGAAATCCCTGAAGATACCAAGTAAATGCTTCAAAGGTTTACCGTCTCACGTCTTGGTAAACAGCTCCCAATAGCCACTCCCCTCTTTTATTCGGAATCAAAGCTTATTGAGTTTCCCTTGTTGGCAAGTCGCTTACACTGAGGGAAGAAAAAGCCCACAGGGATAAATCTGTGTTCTATTTGCTGTTTGGCTACTTTCTTTGTGTGGAAACCGATACCCTGAAGGAAGGAAACATAAGGGGAGCGCAGTGGTTCATGGCCTGTAATCTCAACAGTTTGGGAGGCCAAGGCGGGAAGATCCTTTGTGCTTAGGTCTTTGAGACCTGCCTGGGCAATATAGTGGGACTGCGTCTCTACCAAAAAAAAAATTTAATTAGCCAGGTGGGGTGGTGTGCACCACAGTTACTCAGGAGGCTGAGGCAGCGGGAGCCCGTGAGCCTGGGAGATCGAGGCTGCAGTGACCTGTGATCATTCTAAACTGCGCTCCAGCCTGGGTGACAGAGTGAGTCTCAAATAAAAAAAAAAAAGAAAAGAAAACACCATGACATGATCATCTGTAGTATCTAATAATACAGCCTTCATTGTCTGGCACGTGTTCTGACGTAGCCGTTAATGCACACACTGCTGCTCATTGATGGGGCAAGTCTAATTTTGCTAGGCAGTTCTAGTTTAAGTATATACAGCACTTTACTACCACCTTTTCTTTGGGAATAGAGACTTGGAATGTTGATGCATTGCTCTTAAAACGCTATTGACTTCTAAGCATGAATTGTGCTTCTATCCTCATGGGAACAGTGAATTTCACACAGATAATCATCTCTGTTACTAAATCTCCGTTTCTCGCCCAAGGCCTACATCCACTTGTTGAACTAAAACTTTTTCTTTTTTCCCTTAAAATGCTCCCCTCCCATCTTTATGTCATTTTTGCGTTCGGCTCCTAAATGTTCTGCTGCACCAGTGATGTCTCTTGTCTTTAAAGAGCCAGCTCTACAGGATCTCTGGGAAACCTCTCCCAGCTCCCTAGACTGTTGAGGCACTTCCTCATCAGAATCTTCCATAGCACTGTGTACTTAACGTTATGGCACTTGCTTCATTGCACTCTGATACTCTTATGAGAATATAAGGGCTGTATTGGCTGGGTGCAGTGGCTGACGCCTGTAATCCCAGCACTTTGGGAGGCCAAGATGGGCGGATCACGAGGTCAGGAGATCGAGACCATCCTGGCTAACACGGTGAAGTCTCTACTAAAAATACAAAAAATTAGCCGGGCGTGGTGGCGGGCGCCTGTAGTCCCAGCTACTCAGGAGGCTGAGGCAGGAGAGTGACGTGAACCCAGGAGGCAGAGCTTGCAGTGAGCCGAGATTGTGCCACTGCACTCCAGCCTGGGCCACAGAGCGAGACTCAGTCTAAAAAAAAAAAAAAAAGAAAAGAAAAAAGAATATAAAAGCTGTATTGTGGTGTACTGGGAACTCCTTGAAAGCAAGATTTTATCATATTCTTTGTATCTCCCGTAGTGCCCGGGACAGTGCTTCATGCATAGTAAATCCTCAGTTAATGTTTGGTGAATTAATAAATGTGACCCTTAAGAAACTGTACTGGAAACATTTTCCATCAGTGGATATTGTTACTTATGCAATGGTCATGAAGTCATCTTTCTGATAAAAACTACGTTCAGTCAGTTGATTAAGTGTTAAATCTTTGGTTCTCCATTACTGGACAGCTCCTTCAAAAATATTTGACCTATGATAAAAATGTTCTGCTGTTTAGTGTTACATAAGTATGTCGTCCATTGCCTTTTGTGTGCCGCCTCTATTGTCAAACTTTAAAATTACGTAGATTTTTAAAAAAATTGTATAGCTTATAGAACTGAGCACACAGCTACATAGCTGTATGTTAAATTTTTCTTCTCGCTATTTACCTAACTAGAGATTTGTAAGTCACCACTAGAGCACAATCAAGTGTAACTGGCTATTGGCTTAAACACAGAATAAATATACTAAGGTTAGATGACTATGTTTTATGTTTAGAATTTGAGTTTTTTATTGATCTGGGTTTTTTTTTTTAATTTTCAAAAATCCATTGATATTTTTGAAGCTTGAGGATTAAGACCTTTGGGCTTTGTGAGAGCACAGTTGGAAGATTTTTCTTTATCACACAAAAAGATGCTTAATCTGTTGAATTCTTAAATGTGGTTTTGAGGGTATGAGAATAATTAAAACAATTAGTGAACATTGCAAAATTTTTCTTAAGGTATATTTTATGATGGGAGCAGCTCGTAGCCTTTGATAGGAAGTTTTCTGCATGCTTAAGGTAATGTGAAAGTGTTTAGTAAAGAGTAAAGCACAGTAAATATTGCATACAGCGTATTCTGTCCAGTGCCTACACTTGCCATACATGTACTCAGACATTGCTTTTCACTTTCCTTGGTACCAGGTTGAAGGCGTTTTCTACGTGAATGATGCTCTGGAGAAATTGATGTTTGAGGAATTAAGGAATGCCTGTCGAGGTGGTGGTAAGTACATTAGAGTGTCACTTGTATTAGTGCAGTAGTGCCTTCCCTGTGGCCTGAAAAAGTGATAACTCAATTACAATTTTGAAATATTGTCAAGGACTGATTACAACTTAAGGTAAGACCAAAAGAACTTACTTATTTGTGATCACATTGTTAGCCAGTTGACGTTATAGAAAGGATTTGAAGCTGGGTAGAACTCATTTCTCAGCTAACCTTGAACAATAAGAGCAAGTGACCTACCATTTGTTTTACACTTACTATATTCCAGGCATTTTACTAGGTGCTTTGCGTAGATTATCTCATGTAATACTTGCAGTAACTCTAAAAGGAAGATATTATCTCCAGCATATATATGTGTAAGTCAGAGCTCAGTGAGGTTAAACGTAATAACAGAAAACCAAACACTGAATGTTCTCACTCGTAAGTGGGAGTTGAACGTTGAGAACACATGGATACAGGGAGGGGAACATCACACACCGGGGCCTGTCAGGGGATTGGGGGGTAAGGGAGGGATAGCATTAGGAGAAATAGCTAATGTAGATGACAGGTTGATGGGTGCAGCAAGCCGCCGTGGCACATGTATACCTATGTAACCAACCTGCACGTTCTGCACGTGTACCCCAGAACTTAAAGTATAATAACAAAAATTTAAAAATTTTAATTTGCCCACGGTCACATAGCTTTTTGATGACAGCCAGAATTCAGATCCAGTAGTGCCTGATTTTAAAGACAGTGTTCTTAACCAGTACACTAATTAGGCTTACTGAACTTCAGTTGTCTCATCCATAAAACAGGAATCATTACACCTATCTTGCAGGGCTGCAGCAAGGTTTAGAGATAAAATGCATGAAGCTCTATGATAATCTAATGGTGATAGTATAGAAATCATCTAGTGTTGGGCCGGGTGCAGTGGCTCATGCCTGTAATCCCAGCACTTTGGGTGGCCGAGGCGGGCGGATCACGAGGTCAGGAGATGGAGACCATCCTGGCTAACACGGTGAAACCCCATCTCTACTGAAAATACAAAAAATTAGCCGGGCATGGTGGCGGGCACCTGTAGTCCCAGCTACTCAGGAGGCTGAGGCAGGAGAATAGCGTGAACCTGGGAGGCGGAGCTTGCAGTGAGTGGAGATCGAGCCACTGCTCTCCAGCCTGGGCAACAGAGCGAGACTCAGTCTCAAAAAAAAAAAGAAATCGTCTAGAGTTACCCCTTTCATTTTTTAGATCAGCAAACTAAAGCCTTCCCTCCCCAACCAGGGTATGCTCACTTGTCTAAAATAACATAGCTGCCAAGTGGCAGAAATGGGACTGGAGCCCCGTATCCCTTCATTCTCAATCCAGTGTTTTCCAGAGCTTCCACATTGCCCTTCTTTGTCACTT